CTTATTTACCGGATCTTGACTTTAAAGCGTTGGAGAGTTTGAAGGAAATCCCGTTTTTAAGCGAAGATAACAATAGATTAATGAGAGGAGAATTGAAAGCCAATCTAAATCTATTGAAATTATTGCTTACATATAATTTTTTGGCCAAAAAGTTTTATTTATTTCATATCGGAGTTTGCATTCCTTCCGCATGTGATGCCAGAGATGTTGAAAATGTCTTACAAAAGGGTTTGCTTTCATAGAAAGATAATACCTAACAATAATTTAATTATAACCTATTGTTTGATAGTTTTGTCTCCAATCGCTCGCATTCCTATAGAAGTCGGTCCCAAATGTGATGTCATTACAGATCCATTGGTTTTGAATGCATTTCAAGTAGTTATGTTGTAAGCAATGTTAAAGTCTGTTAAATATTAAAATTAATCTAATAATGAATTTTTAATTATAATTTATCAGAATTATTTTATTAATAATGGTACTATTAGTGTTGGTTTGTACTATTTTATTAGCCCTAAAACAATATATACCACAAAAATTAATGCCAAATGACTCAAAGAAAGCAAATATTTATGAGGCATTGAAATCATTTTCGCTGATCGAAGCTAACAAACGATTAGTGAGTTCTCTAAACAGTAGCCGTCTATTGATAGCCGACGGACTGCTCTTCGTTTACATCCTATGGCTGACCGCATCCATACAGTACGGCTCGATCGCCAGCACCGGTTTTGTTGGCTTTAAGAAAATACACAACAGTTTTATCATAAATATCATTAAAGAAAGTAAATATTTTTGGATGCGATCCATGTTTCCCAGGGATACCATCTTTATCCTCAGGTAATATTGATATACAACTGCTATTTGCGGCAATTATTTGTCAAAAAACAAAAGCAAAGCAGTAAAACGTGTGGATAAAACCCTATGTTTAGCGGAGTAATGATTTCCTATGATTTCTTTGGGGAGAAGAAGAGATCTCTAAATATCTGGCAATACATTAAATTTGTAGCCGAGAAGTGGTTTCGGTTTACAGTGAAAATGTTTGCACCGATTCTAGTGCTCAATGCGCTGTCCGTTATGGGCGACGGCCCTAATTGGCATTCAGGCCGACACTTGTTTGTCGACGCCTGTCATCGCAATTATTGGAAAAACCTATTGTTTATAAACAATTTTGAAAACCAACTCATAGATATTGTATGAAATCTAAAATATTAATTTTTTATTGATTTATATAAAGCAATCTATATTTAGAAAATAGATTTAATATATTTTCTATGTTTATATTTTATTAATATATTTAGTGCAACCCTTTCACGTGGATTCTGGCCGTTATATTTCAATTACAGATAATATCACCGTTTCTTATGATACCGTTTCGGATATCACCCAAATGGGGGTATATTTTTAGCGCCGCTGTTATAGTGTTGGGATGTTTTACGACAATCGCTCCCAAAGTAATATACGGACTAAATCTCATACCATTTGAAGTGTCAGAACTCTATACCATAAAAGAGATTAAATATTCATTTTATCGTTTTTTCTTACACACCGATCAATATATATCATTGTTTATGATTGGTATAACATGTGGTTACGCTATGAGACACAAAACAAGCCTGGATCAATTATTTAAAAGCAAAATTACCAGTTTCATCACCGCTGCGTTTTGCTATGCGATGAGTGTTTTGGGTATAGTTTGGAGCGAAAACTTTAAAGACATGAATAAAATACAAAATAAACTTAATTTAAACATTTGGTTCATCTTTGGGAAGATGTTGTGGTCATTTGGCAACGTTTGGCTCATATATAGCGTGTATTCAAATAGAAATGGTTTTTAAAATTATATCTATAATTAGGTTTAAATAAATAATTTGTAATTTAAATGCATTTTAGGTGCAGTTAATCGCATGCTATCCGCCAAACCTTTCCGAGCAATAACTCGATTGACATTTGGTTTTTGTTTGGTTGCGTTTCCAATCATTAAATACCGTGTTTTGACGAGACGAGAAAACATCGAGATCAGTCATACAAATCAAGTATTTATCTAGTTATTAATATTTATAACTTTATATTATCTAAATATTAATGTATTTATAATTATTATTTAGCTCCAGATTTTATACCTCGATTTCTCGTCAATGTTTGTGTTTTCGTATTTGATTTATATATTCATTGAATTTCCATTAATTAATTTGTTTGAATTCATTAAAAATGGCAATTGTTTTGCAAAAGTAAGTGATATTCAAGTGATTGATGAAAATCAAAATGATTCTATGGTTAATAAAAAGTCTAATGAAACCGCCGTTTAAACAAATCATAAATATTTTGGTCAAAAATTTGAATTAATTCATAAATAAAATTTATAAATATTAATAAGTAGCTATAAATACTTTTATTATATTCATAAATATTTGTGATACAATGAAACATTAAAATAAATTTTGTCATAATTGTAATTTATTTAATAATTAACTTGCAAAATAATTTAGTGCAAAGTTTAAGGCAAATATTGATAAAATTATTCATTTGAAAACATTGCGGATATAAATAATTTAATGTAAATTACATTTTGTACCCAATTATGAATATTAATTAAAATAATGTCAATTAGTAAACGATAAGATAGATGAGCCCACAATCAAGGTTTTTATATAGTATTAAATATATACTGTATGATATCCTAAAATTATTATACAGTTTATTATCCCAAATAATATATTGTTTTACATCATTAATCAAAGATAAAAGCCTATTTATAAGAATTTTTATATGAGTTTGTGTTAAAACATAGTAAATCAAATCGCTTACTAACAATATACAATATATTTTACAACTATGGTAAAATCAATAAACATATAAAAACTAAACTTATAACTCCCATAGACTTGACAGCAGTCGCATAGGTTTTTGGAACCCCATCTTAAAGTATATCCATATGATTAACATAGGATCCCATGTTATTTGCCATAGGGTGGAAGAGAGGGCCAGAACAATTTTATAAACCACATTCTTTAAATATGAATTGTGGTTAAAAATTCTATTTATGCACATACTTACATTGGTGCAATTTAAATCAAGTCGTGTACTTTATTAAAAAACATTCCACTTAAAAACTATTCAATGTAGATTTAATTTTGAAATAAATAAAATTCACATAAAAAATAATTACAAAATGTGTTGCAAAATAAGCCGATTTATGATATTAAAGCTGGTTTCACAAACCGTCTAAATTCTTCAATCATTAAATGGTTAAATATATCACAAATGAAATCAAAAGCCAGAATTTCAATGTAATTGCAAATTAACTAAACAGAGATGAAATTCACGGTATTTATACTAATAATGCGATACATGTTCTGAAATAAGCTATATTTATTATATTTCATTAAAATTATATATTTTTAAAATTCCTATGGTGAAAAATATCATCATGCTTAATTTTTAGTGCACTAGTTCCGGTTACAAAATAACCGCTCTCGTTTTTGTTACTATTGCAAATACAAATGTGCATATTTTTAACAATTATTATTGTCCATTCAAAATAAAGTATGCATATTGAGATAATTTGTTTTAATTTGATAATTAAAATTACATAATAACTTTATTGCTAGGCCAATCAACGCTTAGGGTATTAAATATATATACCAAGATATATATATATATCAATAGGAAGGTCAATCTATTTGCATTTACAATTTCTGATAGATAAATATTATTTCGATTTCCATTATTTTAAATTTTATCAGTTAAGTGTTAGTGTATTAATCAGTTTAGAGTAGTCAATATAATTAATATAATTACTAGGTGCATATTTGCTGTAATTATAATTAATCACAATTATGTTTCTCTTATTCCTTCTTATAGTCATAACAAAATTAATTATACTTTCAATGATATAAATTGTTTTTGAATGTCATTAAGTATAACTGATTTCTCAAATATTAAACAAATATAAAATAACTTTTGTTTGATTAAAACATATTATTTAAAAGCAAAATGACATTTCAATCCAGTGTTTGACTTGAGGTATAATACTTTAATACTCTATTAATGGTTATTTAATTCAATACAAAATTAAACAAGAATTTCAGGTTTTTTAAATATCTGATAACTGAAGCGAAAATTCTTTCAATGAATTAAGCCTTGAAATGAAATAAATGTAATTTTTTGTTATAATTATTGTTTGTGATAAACGAGTGAAGACAGACATAGATTTATTCAATTTCAATTGTTGTGATATTTTTGACAAGTAATAGTGACATGGTTCATTCATGTTAAAATAAGTTATATAAATAAATAAAATGTTTATCAAATATAATCCTATAAAAATATGCTCAACGCTTATATTTCATGTAATAATTGTGTTAATAGTATTGGATTTTACAAAAGTTATTGCAATTAATAAAAATGATATTAAGATTTCTTATAATTGCGAACAAGAATTTGATAAAAAGTGTAGTAATAATAAAAATTTTGTAAAAACAAATAATAAAATATATAATCTAACAAATAGTGAAAGAATTTCAAAATTTTTAAATATAATATTTAAAAAAAGCAAAAATGAAAGCAATAAAAATCTTGGAAATAATAAAAGCGATAACTATTTAACATCTTTTGGTGACTTTAATGAGATTTTGAAAGAAAGTGTAAAACCAATTGAAACGCGTTTAAAGCAAAGTATATTTGAATTAATTCTATCATTGAATATATCAAATGATTGCATGAATTCATTGTTTGCTATACAAAAAGGCTTAAAAAACGGAGAGCTTTGGGCGATAAGTTGTAAGTGTTTTACTTTAATCTTACAATTTTTCAAATATTTTTTTTTAAAGTTTTTGACGCGACGGCAAAAATACCCTCCGGTCTGACGACAGGAGTTGTGAGCTTTTTTGGTGAATACGATCAGTGCCTTCAGATCAAGAGTCCGACAATTGTGGACAAAACGGATCAATATATATACGGAAAGTATTGTTTACTCCGACCGTATGTCTCGTATCCCGACTTTAAAGCGTTACAAGAGGTGAAGGAAATCCCGTTTTTAAATGAAGAAACAAATCGATTGCTGCAAAAAAATTGGACACCAAATATAAACTTTTTGAAACTATTGTTGACATACAATCTTATGGCCAAAAAGGCTTATTTGTTTCACTTCGGAGTTTGTATTCCTTCGACGTGTGATGTGAAAGATGTTCAAAGTGTGGTTCAAAAAGGTTTGCTGTTTAGCCATATAATTAATGTTAAATTACAATTTCAAATTAGAATTTTAATCATTAACATAGCAAAAAATTAATTATTTTTAAATTACAATTTAATAGTTTTGAATCCGATTACTAACAGTATATCTGTTGAAATTCAACACAAATGTGATGTCATAACGGATTCAATTGATTTGAATTTATTTCAGGCAATTATGTTGTAAGCAATGATTTTACTCATTCATTACAATCAATGAATATTATGACACAATTATTAAAATGCAATTTATATGAATCAACAGAATTATATTAACAACACTTATATCAGTGGCACTCGTCTGCACTCTTGTGGTTAAATATATGCCACAAAATAATAG